TCCCCCTCCACCTTCCACCTTTACTGTACGACATACGACGTACAGGTCTTTGTTGTGGTAAAATGAAATTATAAAACAAATATTTTGCTGCGAAGGGACCCACATCCATATAGTGACAGACATGATTTGTAAATATTTGTAGTGAAATGTAATTTTATCATTTAGGTTTCCAGAACACCCCTCTGAAGTTAATTACTAGATATGCCACTGACTTCTGGTGCAGTACGTGACATATGACAAGACAATGTCGCCAACTTCCGGTCGTATTTAGAATTATTAAGCAACATACCAAATGTGTTGTACAGTTGAGCAACTGAAATGCGTGGGACCTGTCAGGAAATACTAGGGTTAGTCGTCATATTTACATGTTGTACAGTTGAGCAACTGAAATGCATGGGACCTGTCAGTAAATACTAGGGTTAGTCGTCATATTTACAAAAACCCTCTACTAAATCATATACTGAGTCATATTAATCCAATCAATACTTTCTTATCATATTTGTGTAAGACCCAACATAACATTATTTTATAATGTACTTAATGTCTTCATATTAATATCTACCGCTAAGTTTGTTTTCCGGCATTGTTTAGTGTGTGTATTTTTCACTTTACCGCGGACGCGCATCATGTTATGACACATAATCCTTATTTTTTACTTAATATATATAGATTAGATTATAGATAAGTATCGATTTATTTATTTATTATAGATATATTAGATTATAGATAGGTATCGATTTATTTATTTATTATACATATATTAGATTATAGATAGGTGTCGATTTATTTATTTATTATAGATATATTAGATTATAGATAGTATCGATTTATTTATTTATTATAGGTATATTAGATTATAGATAGGTGACGATTTATTTATTTATTATAGATATATTAGATTATATATAGGTGATTTATTTATTTATTATAGATATATTAGATTATAGACAGGTATCGATTATTTATTGTTTGAAAAATCAGTGAAAGAAACTTGTTTGCCACCTCTCAACTGTTCAGCTTTAGTGGTTTTTCAATTACATAAAGAAATGTTCTAATGGAAGAAAGTATGTTAAAAAGAACAATGTATAAAGGGTAACTCTTGCTAAGAATATTAGGTCAGGAGGACAAATTATGAAGTACCTTAAAAATGACAGTACACAAAAGGGAAAATTGAAGGAAAGTTGACTGTTACTCGGGCATCATACGTGCCTTGTATTAGGTTGTTAAACCTGTGTTTCTTCGTTCCATCTCACTTCATTTGTTTATGTTTGTTCGCTTCAGTAGTTTATGTCCAACATGCTGTGTGATGGGAATTAGCCTCGTGTCTGTAGGCCCACGCCTGGCACCAAAATGTCAGCTGCTGGCGCACTTTCACTGTGGCGATGAGGACCCGGAAGTGTGTTCCCCTTTCACTGCAGAATAACTCCTCTTCGTCACAGTTATTTCAGAGTTGTATTTCACACACGTTTTAATCTCTTATCACATAGACCACAATGCAACCATATACAATAAAATAATTGTACTAATGCTGTAGAAAAAACAAATAAATTTGGAACGCAAAACCCGATATAGAGAACTCAGCTCAACTTAATTTATTGTTTAATTGAATACTAGCCATAGATTAAGGATGTCTGACAACAAAGTTTTGAGGAAAATATTTTTTCCTAATAAACATGAAGTAACAAAATTAGGCCAACAGAATGTCCAACATCATACACTTAAATTTGTTTTGGTGGGGGTATTAGATTTAAGAAAGAAGGAATAGCTGAGGAATGTAGCACGAGTGGGCCAAATGAGAAATTAATGTATGCGCTTTAAGTTGAAACCTCTACAGAAAATATCATTCGAGAGACCTTGGCTTAGTAGAAACAGTGGTAACTTTTCTGATTATGGCGGTTTGGTATTTTATGAACACGAAGGCTTACGGCTGAGGAGCGCTAGTAACCTCAACAGGTATTATTACATCTCAGACTTTTTGTTTAATTTTTTTTTGTTTAAATCTTGTCAGTCTAATCACAATAAAAATTCCTATTAAATATTAAAATATTAGCATAATTAACATTTAAATATTTAAAAATATATTAAATGATATTCTCTATCGAAATGTTCGATAAAATATATATATATATTTATCACAATATGACGCAACTTTATCATCTCAGACTTTGTAGAAATTGTATGCATTTGTATAAAGTCAGAAAGTAAATACTTTAAAATGATTTTCGTCAGTCTCCGTTGAAAAGTTATAATGCACAAAGAGGACATTTTGAAAGAAACCTCAATTAAATATGAGTGGCATTATACTTCTGTTTGTATAATCAGTATTAGTTCTTAATTGTTAAGGTTGTTACATTGCTGTTGGTCGTAACAGTTTTAAAACAAACTAGAATTAACATGCAAATAGACCTAATTCTGCAGAGTTCATATTGACGATTTGTCACTGCTGTGTTAAATGTAATTATTAAAATCGGCTTCCCGCTTCACTGTACCTGAACCTAGTTCAAGGGATTTAATTAAATTGATTAAAATAATATTTTCAAAATAATCTGAGCGGAATGTAATTAAATGTTTAGCACAGACCTGCGCTTTATACAAAATGTGGGCTATTTGTGGTGTATTCTACTTAACCCTTCGGTTTTATGCATGGGCATTTGTGTGTGTACAGAGTTAGGACTACATACATAAATATATAACTAACTAACTATATGGCTTACGGAACCCGAACGTTTATCACCAAATTAACCAAAGCCCTCCACCGGTCCCTGTCCTGGGTCAACAAAATCCAATAACCTTCAACTCGCATCTCCCATCTACATCTTGGTCTCCCCAGATTCCTCTTTCCTTCAGGCTTCCTGACTAATACCCGGTGTACACCTCTTGCCCCATCCATGCGCGCCACATGCCCCGCCCATCTCATTCAATTTTTAAGCTCCTTATTATGCAGTTTTCTCCATACCCCATTATCTTCTCTCCTAGGCCCAAATATCCTCCTCAACACCCTGTTCTCAAACACCTGCAATCTATGTTCCTCCCTCAGAGTGCGAGACCATGTTTCACACCCATACAAATCAACAAGCAAAATTATTATTTTGTATATTTTAATCTTCAGTTCTTAGAAATCAGACAGGAAGACAAAATATTTTGAACTGAGAAGTAGCAAGCATTTCTGGAATTTAGTCTCCTACTAATTTCCTCATGATTATCATTTTGATTTGTTATTGTTGTTGATGACGGGGGAATCAGACTACCGAGATGAATTATCCTCTAATTCATTTTTAGTATCAGCAAGTTTGGCAATTAGGACATTTTGTATTTTATTTCCTATTTGCGGATCTCACTTTTCTGTCGTACTCGAATTTTGTATCTCTGAATTTAACGGGCATTTGTCTGCATGATACAATGACATGTTGGCAGAAATTAGCAGGATCTTTACTGTTTTAATATCTAAAATATTTCATCTGTTAGAGACGTACCTTTAGTGACTACCAGTAGAGTTTTAATAGAGAACCAAGTCCTTAAATCTTAACATAGCCTCATATTACGTGATGTGCCCGCAGGTATTCAAACTTTTGTTACTGTTTTAATGTAAATATAGATACTAAGCCTGTGATCTGTTGTCGGGCGAACTTAAACAGAAATGCCTTTAGAATGCAGAATCGATGAGGCGGGTGTATATACATAAATGTACTTCCCATTTCAAATATAATTTCACGACGACTAACATTGTTAAAGTCTTCTCGGTTTCTCAGCTGTGTCAGTTAAAAATAATCGACATTTGAGATATCATTTTCGTAGCCATCTTTAGAACTATGGTGATCGTCCTAATGTTGTGGACAGAGATGGTTCCTGAAACGTCGATGATTTGTAACCATCTCAAACGGCTTATAACCTGAGAATACTTTATTAATATGCAACTCTTTTTTCTAATAACATGATTTTCTTTAGACAACTGAATTATAAAATCAGATTTGGTATCAGAATGGGTTTTGACGTGATTCGTTTAAACGATAATAAAATAGCTCTGAAACAAGGGAACAGATTTTATATACACCCGGTCCTTAGATCATGTTCAAGACCTGTAGAGCAGTGCCTGTCAGCAGTCAGACGAGGGTTGGAGTATCTGTACAGCTAATGGCTGTAGAACTTCTGTAGTGTATGTAGAGTCTAATGCTTATGGACACCGCAGGTTAGCTTTAGTGTAGGTAAGTTGTGTAGCTTAGAATTTCAGTTATAGTCATAGTGTGCCCAACAGTTCCCTGTCCCTCAGATAATAGTGACAGAAGTGTCGCCCACTTCGACAGGCCTTCAGTAAACAATTACAATAGGGGTGTCCAAAAACGGGACTGCGTGGTATAAATAATTGTATTTATTTTAAACCATAAACTGGTAAGCACGCGATATTCAGTCTTCAATTGACAAGTTACACGACGTTTACAGACAACTAGGCTTCATATGAGAGTAAATTAAATTCAGTTTACTATTTTAATTTACTTATTATTGTAGTCTTGTATATAACGTAATTTCACCTTACTTCAGGCATCAGGATGGTTGCGATTGTGTCACCAGGTCGAAATCGATAAGTCACGTGGCTCGAGGATGTAGACGAAATTTTGCTTTTATCATTAAACGCTTAAAACTAAGTATGTCTATGTTGTTATGTCTTGATAGTGACACATGTTTTATATTTTGATAGAATTTACTTTTATACAGCTCATATTTGTGAGTCGTGATAGAGCAGTGAATAATATAATATAACGTATTCGTGAGTCCTTCGTATCTTATCTAATTAGTTTTATTCTTTAAATAATAAGGATGGACACCCCTATAAATGTTACTGTTAACTTTCGTTCTATCGCGAATCCCAAGTTACCTTTACCACCGACCGTTTACCCCAACTTCTTTCAACAATTTATAAAAGTTTAGAAGGAACTGCTGGAATCTTCATTGAACTAAAATGGCGTCGGGGCTCGATGCTGGTGCTAATTGGATGCGTTTTTCAGAGCGGCTACCTTGACGGCCTGCGCTCCCAGTTGGGAGGCTGGACGCAGAAAGTGAAGTCTTGGTATTGGGGAAGGCCTCTCGTAAGTTAGTGATAGTAACACTGACCCACCACCCCTCTAGATGACCCTTTCTGCACATGTCATAGCATGCCAGCGACACGAAAGCATCAGAAGAAACATAAAGGATACCTCATACAGATTAAGGCGCCTTTGATTTACTGTATGTGATTAACCAAAGCGTTTACAATAACGAGACATGTACAGAAACACTTTCAATTTGCCGTGACGTGCGGCAGTTCACTTCCTGGCCGTTGCAGCTCTGCCATAGCTCTAAATGTAAAATGGCGTCACAACAACTAAAAGCTTAATGTTCTATAGTTTCACGAATCAAAATTTGTGAATGTAGTTAACAGTCGTTTCCAAAGTTCGGGGAAATATCATCTTCGGCGAAATTATTGAGATGATGATACAACTTCTTTGTGCCGGCCACCAGCAACTGAACAATCTTTAGATCGCGTCAGAACAACGTTCATTCAAAGTCACGTGACTGACTTGTGACACTCACATTAAGCACAGGTGAACTTGAAGTGTTTCTGCATATATGTTAAGTTACATCATTGTTGAAAATGATTTGGTTCATTGAATATAATACGTCTTAACTGCCTTAATCGTTCTGAGACATCTTGCTAGTATAAAATTTAAACAAAAAACCAAACACTGTGCTCAACAAACAATTTTACGACCTAAAATATCGAACTCTGGAATGTGTTCAAACTTTATTTTGCGTTTTCTGCCGTCACGGCGACCATGCGTCAGGCGATTGCACTCATATGACCCATTTTACTTTATTTTATTCTACCATAAGTGGTAAGAATTCATAGAGATTTCAACAATTTTTCACATCCTCAATGGTCTACTGATGACATTCATTCGCTTATTAAGATGTGCCTCACAACTGAATCGTTTTCATGTGCAAATAACATAGGTATATGCGTACTGATTTCATAGTTACACTGCCTAAAACCGATATGTAAATGTCATCTGTTTATTTATTTATTTATTTATTTATTATTAAAAACAAAGTAGTTATTACTATGTAACTCGAAATCCTAGGATAAGTAATAAATTTGAAAGGATAGAAAAAGTAACTGTTGTGGCCTAATTTAAGGTATTGTCCCAGTATTTATCTGGAGAGACTGAGTAAAATTATGGAAATCTCTCAGATCAAACCGTCGTCAGGTAGACTATGAGCCCTTGACATTCCAGACACACAGCAGGAGTGCTAACCATTCGAGCCAGACGTTCGTTCACGTCATATTAAATGACACGTTATGATTAAAGAAATTTAACTTCCTTCGAATTTAACTTTTATTTACTGTGATTATCATGAGACTAATACATTAAGATTTTACGTTTTATTTTGGGTAATGAATATTATAAATTCCAGTAGTTAATACATTAACGTTCGTGTAATATCTGATTTTAACTGTTTTAAATTATCTGTAAAACATTAATTCACGTATTACAGATTAAACGCCTAAAAGTTATCACTTCCTTATATGTAGGCCTGGGATTTTTGATTGTCCAAAAAATAAATTGTTTTTTTTAATCTCATCTGTTAGCATTAGTTTTCGCAGCTGCCAGAGATGATGATGTCACCAACGGGCAGAAATATCGTAGCTGTTAAAGTATGTATTTATGTTAAGGTATCGTTTTAATTTGAAATTACGCGTTCTGAAAAATAGGCCCGCACTGTGATCTGAATGCAGCAAGAGATTAAAAGCAACAACAATTAATGGAAATTTGGAACCAATTGTTTATGTTAAAAGTATGAATAACTTTAAAATTCTTTGAAAGGAACAAAGGATAGTGTTATTTTTATTGCCTCATTTAGCCAAAAGACCATATGATAAGTCTTTCAGAAGTTCTGGTCTAGCTTGATAGATAACTCATATTTTTTTTAAAATTATTGAAATTTATTATAAAAAGTAAGACTTTTGCTTTATTACACGTAAAAGTTACAGCATTAATGAAGTATATACTTTAATATTATAAGGTGCATACATGATTTATCATTGAAAAATCAAAGATCTTTGCAGTTTACTGTCTGACTTTGAAGGAGGTTGTTAATTGTTATCAATATTTACAGGGTGAACACAAATGACCTGAGCTGTTTAAAAAATTTATTTAACAAAACTAAACAGCGTACAGAAATGTAAGTTAAACTACTGGAAGGCGAATTTCAATTTTTATAGCATGTTAGAGAAGTGAGTAACTCCAGCTGTGACTATTAGAAGCGCAACTGTTCATATGATATTAAAATGTCGACTGAACCCAAGAATTAATTTTGTATGCACGATTTAGTTAATCTGGTAAAATGGCGACTGAACCCAAGAATTCATTTTGTATGCACGATTTAGTTAATCTGTGTGACCACTGTTCAACGGGTTTTTCGGATGAAGTTCAATAAAAATCCTCCATGTGCAAAATAAATTCGTTTTCTTGGGTTGCTTCGCCATTTCAACAGTTTCGCTTCTAATGGCCATAATTAAAGTTACTTACTTTTCCTGCGCGTTACAAAAAATTTAAATTCCCCTTCCATTGGTTTTTTTTATTCTTTCATAACGTTTAGTTGTTAAATACATATATGAAATTACTTTAAATAATTTGTATTCATCCTGTACTATATTATTTTCAGCCTATATAATAAATACAATATAATAATCTGTTGTGGGGTACTTATGAATTAATGTGAGAAACATTTAACCCTTTGACTGTTCAGTAAGACTCTTTACGCTAAGGGCTGGACTTCTGCAAGATCCATGAAATGGTTCGTAAAAAGTGCATTCACCTGATACATGATTCACTGTGTGTAAGTAAACCTGCGGTCAGATAGGTTTTTAAACAGCATTTGTCACGAACAAATATTCGGCAGTAAGTCTTCATCAAAGCCGGTCTTTGCTGAGCAGCTAAGAGTTGGATTCAAGTGGAGTGTGCAAAAACACGATATTAATAGTAGACAAAGAACAAAGGCACAAATTCTGATTAGTTATTGTTTTCTAAACCAGTCCCTGGGAGTATTATGACCGTATGTTGTGTGTCTCTCTCCGAATCATCAAATTCTGGGCTTGTGAGGGTTCTTAGAATGTTCACGCTTTAGGCATATCTAAAATACCGCATAAGATACATAATTGCATCTTAAAGATTTAGACGATCCAACACATAAACGAAACTTAATGATCATTACTTTCTTGTTTCTTTCACATATTATCTTTCTTTGCACAATTCCTTTCAGTTAATTTGCAACACCAAATCCGTATCGCAAATGGAAATGTCACGTTATTTCTGTAATATTAGAAAATTCAACTTATTCCCAGTTAGGCTGAATATTTACAAAATTAATTGGATAATTGGTTTCATAGAGGCGCTTTGAATTCATTCTGCCCCATCATTAACGATTACTAACCTTATCTTGTTTATATGACTTCGTATGCTCCAGAATTAAGACCGATTTTTAAATCAAAATTGGTTATTATTGTATAACTATTACATAATCATAGTATTTAGAATAATCAATTTTCATTGTAATTTATTAATAAATCATTCTTTCTTTATATCAACAAAAATAAGTCTTAGCATGAGAAATAACATATCCAGCAATTCAAGTAAATTTTCAACTTTTTAACTACAGATTCCCTTACAATTGCAGCAACAATTTATAGGGCCATCGTGGCAATTTTTATACAACAAACATCTTAAGTCCAATATGATACGTTGTATAAAATTGAGGGTTTTTTTTCTTTTGGGCTGAAGATTTTACTTTCTACTGTCCTCCATCACAACACAATGCATGTCCCGTAGTGACATAGAAGAACCCAGTGAGCTATGTAGTAGCACGAACCCCGGTCACAAGGCCTCCTACAATGTTTGTACTGAGAACAGCTCGTATGTGACGCATAGGGTCTTGTTTTCAAATCAATATTTCTATATAATTTGTTCTGTTAGAAGCATCAGTAAACTATTTATATGATTGTTTTTATGATCTGCTATAGATTAGCGTCAGTTGTAGATCTCCTAGCTTGAGGATAGTACTTCTGTGATAGTAAATGTGGTTTATAAATATGTTCTGGTAATATTATCTTTCTTATTGTTATCAGATAATTTGACTAGTCATATTTTAGTTTTATTTGGGATGTTGCAAGTAAATGGATAGAAATTATTTTTTTTTATTAGGGCCGGAAGTAACAGCGAAACATTTTACTTTATTCAAAATAGGTCTTTGTGAAAATTATTTTACTCATATGTTGTTACACACAGAAACAACTCGGATTAACTACTTTTGTCTGTTGTTGTTTGTTTATGGAAAAAATACATTAATTTTAACAATTTACTGACTTCTGACGTGTAACTCAACACTGTAATGTAACATACCGAAATTAGAAGGACGATCCGATACGTTTGGTTTGTTACACAAAGCTACTTCAATTCACGAAAAAGTAGACTTTACTGAGTGACGGATTCTGTGTTTTGGTATTACTTAGTTGCTTTCATCTCAACTGTCTTTGTATCTCGGCCCGTTCGTCAGTGAATGAGCTAGTTATATTTCCGCTGCTTTGTGAATAAAATGGTGTCTTGCTTAAACTGATGTAAACAGTTGAATAACACTATCTCAGTCAGCTACGGGGCCTATATGACGCTGGAAAATGACAAGTTGGGATTATACAGTGTTCTGTGTCTTACAGGACCTGAACTTAAAAGCGTCTCGTTCTTCTAAGTGATTATTACTTTCATATATATTTCGTACATATTAATCCACTTCGGTATTTCATAATCGTTAACTCGAAAACAGTAACTAAAATTAAGAAAATTCATACATCTTCAGTAATTGGTCTTATTAAACGCTGAGCGTTTTGGGAATATTTTTCAATATATTTAGCAATAATTTAAATGTCTGGCTCTTAGATCTCTAGAATCAGTGGTATCCTATGCTGTAATATTTTAACAAAAACTAAAATATGTTTATATTTTTTTACAAATACCGCTAAAATAAAAGACAGTTCATATATGTAATATTACATATT